AGAATGAGGTGGAAGGAGCCTTATTAATGAGTGCAGGTGTAGCCTTTCAAAAGTCAGAACAACTTGGCTCTTCAGAAACAGACCCAGTATAATTTACAGTCTGGCATTCAGAATATACAGGGGCACCTTTTTGTTCTCTACAGCTACTTGGCAGTGCCAGGGGCACAGCAGGGACTGGGACACAGCAACACAGCAATTACTGAATTAATCTAATGAAAGTAATACTCTTTGCAGTTAATTAAATTACTGTATCTTGATTTTGCTTTATTTCGTCAAATTATGTTCTCCCTTATGTCTGCAAATCTGTTTTACACCTTCATTCTTTCCCCTCACTTTACATTATGGGCTCAAACCAAATTCCACACTCTGAGCCTGACATGAAATCAAAAAGCACCACCAAGGCCCTGTATCACACGATTGTCACTGACTCAACTTGATTCCAAGAATCCACATTCCAGCTATAGCTTTTCACCTTTTTTTTCCCCCTAATATTTGCTTGCAACTCTTCATCCCAAAGATTCATACCCAAGCCAATGGAACATTGCCCAAACTGAAAACCCTTAAAAAAACAGCTCTCAGAAGTATGATGTGACCCAAAGTAGGGTATTTCTGAAAACACTGCAGGACATTTTTATGGCAGCATTGACTGTTATATTGCTCATAGTATAAGAAAATAAGAGTTATTACATTTACTGCTATGATTCTTCTGCTTCCTTTTGGTATCCAAAATTTCCAGTACCCTTTTTTGCAGCTGCCCAAGTTCCAAACTTGCTTTTGGTCAAAATTATCAAAGATAAAAACTATAAGCACAACACTTACTTTAAAATATGTGAAAAACAAAGTCCTTTGTACATTTTAACTAGATTTGAATTCAGTTCATTTTGGATCTCAAATATAATTGCAATACAAACTTGATTTTTTTTTTTTCTTTACACATTGGAAAGATTTCAGAATATCATACAATATGAAATATATAATCTTACATTAAAATTTACTCTCATCAGTAAGAAGACTGACAAGTTCTGCTGTAATTGTGGCTTTGGTTTCTTTAAAATACATTTTTGGCTGCATTATTTATATGGACTAAATACTTCAAAATAAGCATTAAATTAAGATAACATTCATGCTCAAGGATAAAGATGTGCATTGCCAATTACTGTATACAATAATCCATTGTTCATTGTACTCTTCAAAAGTATCAAGGCCAACAAGTGCTTAAATTATGCTGTGAATACACTCTCAACAAATAAACATTAAGGAGTTATGTATCAATAAATACTAATTCCACCAGCACAAAAATCCCTCAAGTATAACAGTGGTGCTGGGCACAAAGAAATTACATTTATAAACAGTTGAGATCAGTTTCTCAAAGCAAGATACAAATTATTCAAGCATATACATAAATCAAACAACCTTTAAGAACCTTTATTAATGAACTTAAAGCACTGGAAAAACGAGACACATTTGGTGCGGAGGACAGCCATGCAGGACACTTTTTTTAGTAATTGGAAAGTTACTGAAAGTCACTGGACTTTCCTTCTTCTAACAGAAAGGTTGAAATCATTCAAAGGTATTGGAAGCTTCAATTCAGAGATTAGAAAACAATTTTATACACACAACCTCACACTCAGTATGTCAAAGAAATAACACTATATGTTATTATATGCCTTAAGAATCAGCAGGGTTAAGACCAAAGACTACAACATTCTCCAGAAGGTACAGCAATCTTCCAAAGTAGCAGTACACTAAGCAGCAAAACACCAGCCTCACCCATTTCACTAAAAACATACACTTCAAAACTCTAGCTTTGATTACAGAAACAATGGCAACATTTTTAAATACAAAACCTATTCAAAGAAAACAGCCAAAGAAAGAAGAAACTGTAATTAAAATTGCTCAGACAACATAACGTTATTAATTTTATTAAGTTTCCACTGTCCTCAAAATCTATGCACCTAAAAAAATCATTAATAGTAGTCAATTTTTTAGCAGAGTTCTTCTTTAGAATTTATCTGTTAGTGTCACAGTAATCATATACATGGAAAAAGTACAACAAATATTTTAAATTCAGATGTTGAAAGAACTTTTTTCCTCTTTTTTAGTATTAAAAGGCAAAAAAGTAAAGGAAAATGCTACAGCAGGACTTAGACTGCAAGAAAATCCTATATCTGGACAGGTACTTGGGAGTGTGTATGGGAGAAATACCATTTACTTTATTAAAATATTAATACTGTATTTTTTATTAAGCATAATAATGCAAAATCAGAAACAACATTTTTACATACTGACAGATAAGATGGAGAATCTTCATCTCTTCCTATGCTATTTAATCACATGTCCAAATCCACAACCAAAAGAAAAAATTGTACTATTTACCCAGATATGCTCTAACACATGAAAATTTTGTAGTTTATTTCGCTCATTGCTTGGTTTAGGAAAAAAAGGAAGCCCCTGAATTATTTAGGAAAACAGTCTAAAAATGAAATTAACAGATTTTTCTTTCGGTTTCTTGTGGGGTTTTGAGACAGAACTTTAACAGAGCACCATACCAGCTCTGTGCTTCTCACCTTCTTATTTTCTTATAATAAACACATACTTGTTATCAGTTTGCATTTTTGTCTTAGTGGATTCACAGCCTCAGATTCTTTTCACTGAGCAGACCCAGTTGGCAACAATACAATGCCAAGTTCTTGGTTAATCATTAGCATTGTTCCTCTGTTTGCTCCTCAGAAGCTCCAACAATGAAGACAGCAGTAGAAATTTCACAAAAATCAAGAATACTAACAGCTCTTTGACAAGTTTTAGAGAAGTCTCAATCACTTGACGGCACACTTATCAATCTATCCTTTTTTGCATATAGCTACCACTTACTAGCAAGCATTTCTGTACCAGCTGAGAAGTACAGAAGGAATGGCATCCTATTTTGTACAGATAACCAAAGATTTGCACTAAGAGAAGCTCATGTGGAGAACTATGTTTCTTATACAAATCTGCAACTTTTGTCGCTCTAATGCTCTAATTCAAATCCTATGCCACATCTTCACTCTTTCCCTTTTATTTTTTGACCTGTGATGCATAATGTATATTGTTAAGTGCCTTCATATTAACAAGTAACGCCCAAGCATTGTCTCAAATTTACCTGTTTAAATTTCCAGAAATTTCTCTTCCACTGTTCATTAGGAACAATGCCTTTTGTTCATACATACATATAAATGGAAGCACAATCTTATATAAACTTGATTATGAATGAATATTCTTGTCAGCTACAAGCAGAGGCATGTCCATACACATGGAAGGGAAGAGTGAATCTTCCCAATGTAAGGGCTTCAAAGTCAGGAAATATTTACCTACATTCAGTCTAATTTCAAGCTCTGCTCAGCAAAGCAATAGCAGAGGAATGAGTTACCAATCACCTCAGAGTACATTTTATCTACTGCATTATTACAAGCATGAAGTCTCAAACTTCAGAAGTTCCTCGAGTACAATCAAGAAGATTCTGATCAATCAACAGTAAAAAATAATAAAATTATACAATCACTACCTCTGATACAATGATCTTTCCTGGATCTGAAAAAGCTTTGTGAGTTAGAGCCAATAGTCAAAATGAAATAAAGAGATTTATCCAAGATGAACAAAAGACTAGTATTGTAGAAACAGAACAGATACACCCAAGGCACCAATACAGCTCTATTCAAAAAATGCAGGGCTCACCAATTTTCTTTGTGGTTTGAAGAAAATAATAACTGCTTCAATAAAGAGAGCAGCTACCACAAAGTAACAAGTTACTGAGGAGCACTGGCTTCATGGTGACTGCACACCCCACAGTCAGCGCCACTCAACACAAGGCAGACCCTTCAATTTAATTACCTTATGTTACCCACTCCATTACAGACACCTAGCTGGAACCTGGGCACAAACAAACTTAGGATTCACCAAATAAAGGACAACAAGATCCAGCTAACACTAACAGGTGTGTCAGGTGTGAACTGCTTATGACTGCAATATCATAGTCTTAACTTCAGATGTCCCTTGCACATCTACTGCTCCAGCTTCATTCCTTTCATTGTACTGCAGATTAACACCCCACAAAAGCCAGTGTCACAGCCTGACCACTGTGCACCAAAAGCACAAATACAAGTAACACACACAACCAAACCCTTCTCAAAACCTAGAATTAGAAGGTAGGGAAAACACCTGCAGAGACATGGGTTTGCCCCCATTCTGGCACAGCTTTTGCAACACAAAAGTAGGACAGCTTCCAGGTAAACCATGGTGGCAAGGTTGTAACACATGAGTAATGTAGCTACTGAGAGGGAACGGAATTCTTCGGATTCAAACTGCTATGTTTATAAGGATACAACATTTGTAAAATGTAGCAAACTACAACAGACTTCTCAGCTACTTGTAGCACACAGACCCATTCTATCTTAGTGAGAAAATGTGTTGCAGCAAGCAGTAACAACTCTGATTTGGGCAGTCAAGTAACTGTAAAAAGAAGTAATTTTTAGACTGTAAAATGAGAAGTTTTTTATAAAACTTGTGTTCTGTCTCAATTACTGCTAATATACAAAGACTGCAGGAATCTAGAAATTAGAAAATCATTTGAAAGGAAAGAATGTTGAGAATTAAAGGAAGTTTAACTAAACATGATAATTTACAATTATATTTGCCAATACAGTTTGCCTAGAGTACACTTCAAAATACAAGAAAAACTTTAAATTTGTAATTTTACCACACTGCTTAAAACAGGTGGTGAAAAGTCACCAACCTACCATAAAAATTAAAACATGCAGGCCAAAAGCTATTCTGAAAATAAAACAACATCCTAAGGTTTTTGAAACTACCTTTGGATTTTCTGAGTTTAGCTCTGAATTGACACTCAAAATACTAATTTACTGCTTCATTATTGAAAAAAAAAAAAAAAAAACCAAACAAACCCTAAACCAACTTTATCAGGACTGAAAATATTTATTGCAAAGGCTGAAAATAGCTGTTCCTACCTCCACTTTTGTTCTGTAGAGAATGAGACGCTTTAGGCTGCCCACTTTGGCTATGTGGTTGAAAGCCTGAGGTGGTATTTTATCACACGATGAGAGATTTAATTCCTGAAGATTTGGACACATTTCAGTGATGACCTCCAAGCATGTTTCATTGAGGAAATGGCCACAAGACAACTCAAGACGTACTAGTTCAGAGCCACAGACTTTCAGGAACCTGTAAAAAAAGCCCATGTTTCAAGCGACAAATTAACATACTTTCAGGTGAGAGTCTGAATAATGTCAAAACCTTAACCACGTAAACCAGGAAATAATTTCTTTCAACAAAGAAAAGACAATAGTCTTGGTAAATCTGTTTTGGTTTAGGAAGTTAGAACATGCTTTGTTATAAATACTAACTCTAAGACAATGGAGCAAAATAAAACACTGATCATGTCTGAAATGTTTTAAAACAGCCAAAAGCCAATTTTGACAACGGCCTGCAAGTTTACACCCATAATTTCATATTTATCTCAGAAAAATCTGCAAATATAAAAATGAGGTTAAACAAAACCTTTAAATGGATGATCTATTCAGAATTGTTTTAAGATTTTCAGGAAAAAAATACCTCATTCTTTTCATTAACAAGTCAGAATCAACACTTGCTAGCTGTTCTAGAACACAAATTCCTGAGGAATATTTGACTTTTATTGGAATAATAGAAAAATTAATAAATCATATGAGAAAAGACACAAAATGTAGAAGCTTTGATGGTCTCTTTATTTTGCTTTCCTGTCAGAGATCTTGTGTCAGAATCTCAAGCTCTTTTATCTCTAATTGGAGCTTTAACCAAAACCACATAAACTTAGTCCCTTTTAATTTCAAAGACAACCTTCAAACCATAAATTAACCACTAGGTTTGTAAACTTGATATTTAGTAAGATTAAAAAGCCCACACAATTGCCATGCTTATGTTATATTTTGATAGTTCCTCCAGCAGAAAAACTACGGTCTTAAACTACAGGTTGTAATGAGTTTCCCATGTTATTTCCTAGAATAAAGGATCTTCTTGTGAAAGAGCATGAATTAGAGCAGATCAGAATATTTATTAAGAAAAACTGTTATCAGTTCTATCCTACAAAAAACATTCACACAGACAAAGCAGCTTCAGGTTCTGACACTTGCACCACGAAGTCAGTATTACTTCTTGGGTTTAACTGATGTAATAAAAATGCCAGACAGACACAAGGCTCCTGCTTGCAGAAAAACTCCTATTGCTACAAGAAAAGAGTTATTAGCCTTCCCAAGCATTTGCTCATGCTGAAGCTTAGCATGAAATTGCTGCTGGTCTTAGAAGAAGACACATTCAGGGAGGCATTCCTCAACGACACCAACACTAGCCCAAGACTTGAAATCCATCTTTCAGGATCCAAGTTTTCAAGCTGCCTCCTTTCCTTATTTTTTCATTACTCACTCAAGTTGTATTTGCCATTCATTATCACCTTTCTTTATTCCTTTCACCTTGAAAGGCCTTTCACTTACACAGCCTTAGTGTGATTATGTACATCCTATGTAATACAGAGGGAAAAGGAGATTCCAGGGTGGCATCTCTATCCCTGGATGTTTCCAAGAGTCACCTGAAACCTTGACTGACCTGATCTAGCGTTGGGGACACTGGCACTTCAAGTGGGAGCTTGGAGTAGACGACCTTCAGAGGTCCCTAACATCGAACATTTCTATGAGCCTAAGCAAACAGAAACAAAGAGAGGGTCTGAGACACGAAAGGGGAGACATAAGCCCCAGAGCCACAGGAGTTCTGGCATGTATGGTCTTCAAGTCTACCCCTCCACTGTTTTTTTCTAACTTTGCAGTCTCTATTTAGACTCTATTTTAACTTTTAAAGTCAGAGTTTAATAAAACACCAAGCAGTTTCCATACTGGATACAGTGCATTCACAGAGACTGGTAAGCCTTCCTGTGGGAATGTCAGAGCTGAAATGACATGACAATTCACAACAATTAACATCAGGTATTTAAACATTTAAGTGCTATTTTAGACTAGCAATAGATTTCAACACTACTATGGAGAAATGCAGGATGGAAATCCCCTGGAAATCAGAGTAGAGATATATGGACACATTGCTGATTACCAATTAGCCAATTCCTCTATTTAATGAGTGCTTTAACAATACATTCACACAGCTTCTTTCATCAACAAATTATCAGGTTTGTTTGAATTATGGTATTTTCCATAAAACTTTGTCAGTCACCACTTATTATACTTCCAGCTTTTAATTTGTTAACAAATAAATATTTTATGAATTACTCCATTACAATAATGGATGTTAGTTTAACTGCCATATAATTTAACAGGGCTTGGCTGTTATAAATGTTAGTAGAGATCAATGCTTTTCTCCTTCTAGGACTATTAAAAGTTAACATTACCATGTCAGGGAAACACTCAGTTAACCCCCCAGACATGGAGAAGAACTCCAGGCTCACCAGCTGGAGGAGTTATTATCCTCATAACATTTTATTTAAACTCATTACACTTGAAACACACAGTCAGAGGCCAAACACAGTGACAGCAACAAGCACTGCCCTTCATGGTTTTGCTGCCTTGTTGGAAAAGTTTATTTAGGAGACACGAAACAGAAACAAAATGGGGATAAGATGAATGCAGCAGCAGGGCACAAGAATGAGTGGACATGCATGTAAGGAAACAAAGGAACAGAGAGGAACAGGAACAGAAGGAGAAATCTGAGGAAGTCAACAACCAGCACAGGGCAGAAGTGCACAGCTCTATGGGGCCACCTGATCTTTGTTTGAATTCAACAGATTGCTCAGGATAGAGGTTTTTGCTGCTGCCTTTCCACATGGATTTCCATGCAGAACCATATGGCAAGGTAGAACATGGGTTCTCATGCTTTCAAAACAAATGTTGCATGGTCTTTGTACTTCTGAGACTTAACAGTCTCTGAGTGACTGGCTTGATTTAGCTAATCTGAAAACAAACAACACCCAAAAAAGCACCTTCTACCCAAATCAAAATTTCTTCACATTTCTTCGCATACCTCTCCTTTAATCACTGTGGATTGACTGGTTCCTGTTCTCTGTCTCTCCTCTGTTCTGCAGTCATCCATCCCTTTAGTTTTGTTTTTATTATCAATATTTTATACACACCATTTCTGAAGTGATTTCTCTTCATCCCTTCATGTTTGCTATAAAATATGACTTAACAACCTAGGATAATGTGAACATGCACATTTCCTCTGCTAGACAGTGCATTGGGCCTTTCCCTTGAAGTTTATCCTCCTCACTCACGACAGCAGCATTTCAGGCCTTCTAGTAGTTCAGTTTTGTTTCTTTCTGGTTTTTGGAGGGGGGAGAGGGGCCCTGTTTTGCTGGTTTTGGGTTTTTTTTTTTCCAGTCGGGAGGGGATTGTTGTTTTTCATAAAATAAAGAACCCCACTTTCCATCACCTTCTGCCTACTCTGACGAACTGCTACTTATTTTCAACCCCTCAAGCTTTTTGGAAGTTCTAGTGAAGTTTTCCTGAAACATCAAATATATCTATTAGCAGGCAGGATGATATTTGCTCATGGGTCACTTAGCCCACTAACAATTTCCAATATTGTAATTCATGTGTCCATCATAAGCATATCTCATGACCCAAAATTAAAATCCAAGGTACAAGAGATTGTACTCTTCACGTCAGAATGTAAGACCTCCCAAACAAAATTCCCAAAAGTCCTTTAGACATGTGGTTATGCAGGTACTGAACATAACACATTTCCTCCAATGCTTTCTGGTGGATCTAGAACCTGTAATTCACTCTTAGCTTAATGATCCTCACTTACTCTGTATGTCCCAGTTCAAAATTACTGAAAACCCTACAACAAGTAGGGATCGCAGTCCTGTTCTCTTTCATCTACTCATCCTCCCTAAATGAAATTAGCTACATAGTTTTATATTCCTTTAGTGCAATTAACATAACAGTCTTTTATTATGCTGATTTTACCAAATCTTTTTTCAATTAAAATCTTCACTACTGATTTTATACTTATTGACATATATTTGAATTTGGTGTCCAAGAAAGAGGGTGGAAAAAGGAACCAACTTCCATTTGTGAACAACACAGGGTTGGACAGACTTTTTTTCTCTAGCACTTTCCCTTTTACCTTACATTAGCATCCACGTTAGGGATGTTACCTGATAGATACAATTCTGCCCCATTTGCCAGGCCTTCCTTGGTATAAGCCTCCTCGAATCAGTATTTCATAGAACAACCATTTATGTCTGCTTCAAGCCAACTACATGCTCCCTCCAGCTACTCTGTCTCCTGCTTCCAGAGCCTGCCACCAGACAAGCAAAATGTCAAAACCCACATGGGTTTTACTCTTCCTCATTTCAGTTCCGAGATCTCGAAATCCCCTCTTTCTTACTTACTTCCATCTATATGATTACTTGCACAAACTCACAGAGCACTTTCTGCCTTACAATTACAGCCTTGCATTTAATAAAATGGTTTGTGGAATTAGATTTTAATATCCTTCTTAAAGACCTGCTCAAATATTTTTAAATTCACAGTGATGCTTTTCCTTTCAAGACTGCCACGTTACACAACAGCAGCAGCATTTAGCACAGGTAATTGTAACAGAAGTGTTAAGGTTGGTATGAGTGGAAAACAACTGGGTATACAGAGGTGTAGGAGAAGGAAAAAACAAATGGCATCACAAGGGCTGGAACAGAGGTGTGTGTTAGTGGAAGTCAGATTAGCAGGTCACTGACATCCTTGAACACTTGTGCAGGCAGTTTCTCAGGGCACACAGATTAGGAGATGAAGGATAGGAGCAGCACAGGATGGTGAGACCACGTGCCAGACAAATTCATTTGGACACATCTTGGTTCTCTTGGCACATGCAAGTATTCGTGCTTAAGACTGAGACTTTGTAAGGTAATTTGGTTTTAAAAATAAGTCACTTTCCCTTCCTCTAGCTATTCTAATTAGTACGATGTTATTTTCTACTCTAGCATGTATTACACTTCCTTTTTGGTAAGTAAATCCTAAAACATGGCATGTAGTAAGTAGTATATCAAGTACCTGATCTTGTGCTTTTCTCAGCACAGATTAAACTATATCAAGAAAAACATGCAAAACAAATGTTGTAACTTACTCTCAGCCAACCCTAGTTTTACTAAAAACCTCTGGAAATTAAAGCAAGAGACAGACCTGACTGTTAAATTGAGAATCTCTGTAAAGTCACACATTACTCCCATTTTTTATGACTGTTTGGTGCATATTTCAGTAATTTCTCTGACCTTCCTGCTACTTTGACTTCTAGCAAAGCCTCACCAAATTAAATATTGTCAAAACACACTTCTATTAAAGGCAATGAAAGCCTTCAAACCTGAACAACAAAACTGTTAAAGAAATATTCCTGGATGTGCTTGCCATGCAAATACTGCATCACTAACCTGAAAATAAAACACTATTAATTCATTGTAAAATGTGTAAAATGTCAAATGTAAATAAAAATCCTAATTCCTCAGATATTTAAAGCAAAAGAGTTTAAACAAGTTAATGACATTATCGGTGATCCAAGGAAATCTGCATGCAGAACTCCATTTTCAAACTGTCATTGTCCTTGAGCTGTTTAAACCTCAGAGCATTTTATTCAGCATCTCAATATTTACTACTCCTTCAATCAACTCCCCTTGCTCTTCCTATATAGGTCCTACCCTCCCACACTGATATTTCCCCCTGCCATGAAGAGATTCACCACACCTCTAAAGCCAAGAGAAATGCAGAGCTGCTTATGTAATGCTTGCCGTGAAATCTTTGCTTATTCCCTGTCATTTTGCATTTCAGGCTCCTGAGACTGCTCAGATACTCCTTTCACTTTTTTGTACACTTTTACTTCAATCTAATATAAAGTTTAGTTAATTTATATTATATGCTGAAATGAAAAATTTATGATAGTAATTTTTAGCCCTAAGGAGTAGATGTTATCAATAAGTTAAAATACCTTCAGCTTTGCCTCAGGATGTTCATATGCCTGAAGCATTCTGTCTTCTCATGATAATACGGTATTTGCTCCAGTCACATTTCCTAAAATTACTTTTAACTCCTTTTCACTCTAATACATTTTTGAAGAAAATACGTATTTCAAATAATTTCTTAGTACTTTCAATAATTTCATGCATATATGAACATTTTAAAATGACAAATTTATACAAGCTACTACTTTTATGACTGTCATAAGAAACAACAGATAAAAACATTTTTGAAAGATATTTTCCAAAATAAGATTTAAGCAAGACTAACATTTAAACATACCCTGACTTGCAGAAATCCTAACTTAAACTGTACAACTGTAAGAATTAAACCAACTCTACCAGTTTTGAATTCAACACTGCCGACTAACTCCAAATGCTGAGAAAAATGCAAAAATATAATATATGTGTCCTGGTTTTGGACAAAAGGAAAAACGGTGAAAAGCAAGTCTTGTTCTAATGACTCTCTAGTAGTAGATACTTTCATAGCAAATGAGCAGCAAATTTTCCTCTTCTGGAGGCCAGCAAATTTGACAAGCATGCTGACGAAGACTGTCAAAAGAAAAACTCCTGTTGGGGATTTTACTAGAAAAGACTTTTACAGAAGAAAGGGATGCAAAATAATTTCTGTAACAGAAAGAAGTTTAAAACCAGACCTAGTTAGAGTGGAGAATTTTTCTTTCACAAGGGAAAATGATAAGCACAGTTTAGATATACAAATTATTTAGCTTATAACTTTGCTTCTAAAATTTACAATTGAACTGCATCTCCCATTCCCAGACTGCATCCATCTCTTCCAAGAAACACTTTTCCCTAAAACTAAGATAATTTCAGAATTGCAACAAAGTCAAAACTTTTTCCCATTTGTTACAAATAAATATAATCCCTTATAAGAAATAGAAACAGAAAACATTTACTCACAGATTATTAATAGATAAATAATGAATATTTATTATTTTAAAACACTGTATACATATACATGTTACTAGTAGTTCAGCACTGAAGAAAAAAAATTAGTATTAATAAAGTCATTTTCAACTAAGTAGAAGTAAGAAATGCCAGAACTGTAAAGTTTATAAATCTCTGAATCTGGCAATAATTTCTTCCAAGACTACAAAGATTTTTCGCAATATTGTATACTAAAAAAAAATACAAAAATCATGGAAATGAAAAAAAGTTGCCACAAAGGTTCACATATCTTAAGTTTTCAAAAGACAGACTTAATAGTAAAGCATCAGAAAGCAGGCACTTCATAATTTCATAGTTGAATTCTCAATTAAAGCTTGCATATTCATCTTCTGTATAAAGTATCTAACATGAAATCCAAATTTAGGAGAAATTTTTGTAGCGAATTCAACCACTAGCCGATGTCTATTTTTTTCTCCTCCCAATAAGCAGAAAAAGGCATAGGATTCTTGCATTATACCGGAGGGTCTGGAAAAACAGAAGACATTCCCATCTTGACAAAGTATTTCTTAAAAATATTTTACTTCCTCAGGTAAGGAACTTACACAAGAAAGGAAAGAAAATGTCTGCATATTTGAGTTAACCTTTTTATTCAGAAAACAAATGAGAGTTAAGACAACTTGTTCAGATATATTAAACATTTCTATTTCTTATCAGTCAATTTCTGCTTTCACCTGCCACTGCTGATTACCCCTTAGTTGAAGCAACAACTTTTGCTTAAATGAAATGCATTGACAGAAGCTGTTTAACTAATGCAAATGAGCAAAGAAGCAAGAAATGATATCTTAAGAAAGCAGAGAACATGGCTGTTATACAGAGAAGAATCCCTGCAAATTTGCTATTTTAATGATCTACACCACAGTCATATTTTCAGCTCACTGGAATATGCACATGCAACCCCCCTGTTTTCCAACAGGGCAAATGTTTTAAATCATTTTTATGAAAATATTTGCATTTACATTGGACTCCAGTGATTACTTGGCTCATACCATGTGAGCATGCAATCAGTTTATTACTGCAGCCATTCTAATACTGTCCTACTGATGACTCATCTGTACAAAGAACAAACACAAACATTTTCCTTGTGAGATGGATTTTTGATAGCTCAGTTCTAGCAGAGTGTTTTAGAAGCCCAGAAGAAAGCAAAACACTGCTCCCCCTGGAAAAAGCCTTTCAGTCACAAGCAGCTTGGAACATGCAGACTCTACAGACTGCTATGGACTTCTGCTGCTATATTTAGTATCTCCTACTGTTTTAGCTGTTCCTTTTTTCTACATCATAACAATCACACCCTTTATAGAAAATCCAAGACATTTTTTGCCTTTTAATAGAGTTTAAATACTTAGTGAAACTACCGTGCAGCAGCTCTGCAAACAGAGCTTGTCAAAACATTTCTGTACATTTAACACTGACCTGCTAAATCCAGAAACAGAGATGGCTCCCCTGTTTCCAGTCCAAGATAAATTCAGCCACTGGATGAGCGTGCAGCGAGACTGTAGGTACTCCAGGGATGTGTCATTAATCCTTGCCCAGTAAGGTTGTAAACTGAGATGAATGTACTGTAGAGGGTCACAGCAATGTTGATACAGTAGCTTACAAGTTTGTGCTAGTCTACACAGGTCTGGTACTGTAAGGTGACTCAAAATCAACTGGATGAGCTATATTAAAAACAGGAAAAAAAAGTCACTGATGGTCATATAGCACTTAAAACATTAAGGGAAAACTGCAAAGGAATAAGAAAATGCGTTCTAACTTCAAGGAAAGTAAAACCTTTTACTTAAAAGTAACTTCTCAAATAAATTGATTAACTATTAAATAGAGCTGCATTGCCTTCTCAGTTTGACAACACGCTAAACAAGAAAGGAAAAGCAGATCAGCATATGAAAGTGGCAGGAAGCTTTCAAATCAAAAGTTTCTTTACCCATGCTAATTTAAACAGTGATATATATGTAAGCACTATGTTTATATATTTCCTTTCACTAAGTCTGCTCTTTCATTGAACAGAACACAGAACTGGCATCCTCCTTTTTCTCTGTATTTGGTTTTTAAGATGGGAGATATTTGCAAAGTACATGGAAAAACTATACCACGTCCCGGTTTCTCCACACCCCAAACCAATTTCAGATTTATTCCTCTTCTCCCTGCTTTAAAAAACAGTGTTTTGTTTTCTATCTTATATCCTCTCCTTTGGACTATGCAGCTGAGTAAAAAAATTAAACATAATCAGATCTCCATTTACCATCTCTTCCTTGTTGTAATACTTTGAGAGCATTTTTGTTCTACACCAGAGTCAAATCTGAAAGGCAAAACTCCTTTTTAACTGTATCAGTTGAATCATCTCAGCTTCAGAATAATCACCAGCCCTTCTGACTAGCATCACTGTAACAGTTTTTGTAATAACTTACGTCACACTCAAAAACTAAGAAATATCCCTCCTCTCCTCTCACACTCTGTTTTCCTTTCCAAGGAATGATCAACACGCACACAGACATAAATACTCTCTTTAGGAAATAAAAACGCCCAACAAAATAAAGAGATCTCCTTTATCTTAGGAACTGAGAGAAAATGCACTTGAAAAATGAAATCTAAAAATTAATGTTTACTTTAACAGAGCTGTCTCTAGCAGATGTAAATACCTGCACTAAGTTATATAACTTAAATTGACTGTTTTCAAGCAGAGTGGGAAACAGTAACTCACTGAAATGAATCAGTGTAAATTACAAAAACTACAACTCACAAATCAACTCCAACAGAAGAGAATTCTGTGGTCCTTTCAGAATACCAACATGTTTAATTTTTATGTCTTAGAAGGATTCAGAAGACAAATCCACCAAAAATCAGAATAAAATCTGTGACGTAAAATGAAAATGTTTGGCTCTCACAAAAAGCTCCAGATTGTACTTCCTTTGCATCACTTTATTATGCAGCTACTTTCCACCTCCCCTCCTTCCCCCTTCATTTTTGGAAAAACAAAACAATTCAACTTCCTGCAAAATGGAAAATGTTACTTCCTACTCAGCTCCAGATTTAGTACTTAGATTTCCAACAAGATCTACATATCTTAAAACATTTTAGTTTAACTCCAATGCAAAAACACAGTGTTTGATGTACTCCACTTTCTTTCATACTTGGTTTCAAGCCTTTCATCTTCTCTTCTTGCTTGTCCTTTCCCCTAGAAACAGCCGAGCTTTTTGGCTCTGCAGGTGTCTGGAACTCAGATTGATGCAGAGGACCAGCAAAGACTTTTCAATGTAAAAGCACCTATATATATATATATATATATATATATACACACATATGTGCATATATATAAAATGTATATATGCATATATAATAACTGCAGTTATAATCAGCAAAGTTTGCGCCCAATTGACATTTAGGAACCTGTTGACATTTTGAAACCTAATATATCCAAAATAACTAGGAGCTAAAGACATAATCCCACGTTAATATCTTGATTTTTGCAAACTTTCAGCTAATCCACACTATGTAAGTCAGCTAAATATCTATTTTATTAATGCCTTTTCCCTCAGATTTTTCTCCCATGATTTCTAGAGCTGAAAAGTCAGCAGAGGCTGTAAAATTAGCAGAATTTATGTCAACAATTAATGTGACATAATATTTGATAAAAGCAAAGCAATAAAAATTTCGTTCAATGAGAAAAAAGTTATTTTGTAACTTCTGAGAAATACAGAGAACGGGGAATGAAATTATAAATGACTTAACAATGTCCATTTACACTAACTGATGACTTCAATGAGTATTTTGTAACACACAGGATGTCTCTCCACACCTGCGATGAAAATTGCCCACATCTCAATCGAAAAAATCTGGTTTTATTTTCTACTGAAATTGCACTACTTCATAATATATAGAATGAAAACATATAATGAAATGTCACTCCTATGATATTATGTCAAAGCCAGCTTTTTCCTGGCTTTTGATTAAACAAAAATAACAGATTCAAAACATACAGGCTAATAACCATTAATCACCATTAGCCTGGAGTCTGGTGTCTGTCAGGAACACACTTTTTGTGTCTGTGTACCCTAGCATAAAGCACAATTTGATATCATAATGAGTATGTGACATGATGTGCTGTACTGTGCTACGCTGTGTTCGTGGTGATTCCAAGAATGCTACAGAAATGAGTATCTGCTTTGAAAGCTAATTTCATAATGCAGTTTCTCACAAACAACAGTTTTTACTGTGATTTTATGAAAAATTGTAACAATCATTATTATTTCACACTTTCTTATAAATCAATCAGTAAAAACAAAGTTTATTAGAAAAACATGGAAAGAAAACAAAATATAATTTATACAACACCGATTGCCTTTTTAGGCTTTGATAGACTAAGAGTACAAGAATACTTCCTCTCCCATTTCCAGGGAAAACATGGCACATGCCAGCTTTAAACCAGGCATATTTTTTGAACTACCAAATAAAACATATAACATCTTAAAAAAAAAAAATAAAAAGCTTCTCACCCACTACAAAGTTTGCCTACAAGCCCACACAGAATTTCCACTCCCCAGTACAGGGGGCAAAACTTTACCAATGGTGTAGTTTCTAATAATACTTACTGAACCAGAAGTTTCTCTGGCTTTTTAAGGTTTTTTTATTGAAAAACAGCAAGCAACAACCATTTGCACTTATGAAATACTTTCTGTGGCTAGAGCACAATAACGCACAACTTGGTTTTGTCAGAAAATAATGTCTGGATGCTGGTGAAACCTACAATACTCATACTTTCTACCAATTTCCTTTTTCAGTTCTTCCACATAAAGGTGAAATGGTTTTCCAATAAAAAAAAATACACTGGCCTATGCAAACCACTCATTCAGAAACAGACAAATGAATAACTTGCAATTTTTTGATTCTTGCAGCTGGAGCTGCTATAGCTTAGAATCCATTTAATTAGAACTGATATTAAAACATGCTCAGGTAAAGGACAAAGGATATGTGCACAAAGAGACAAAAAGAGCAGACAAGAAGAAGATGGTATTCTAGGGCTTTTGACATTTCTCAGCACACTTTAAGAAAACACACATCCCTGGTTCCACAACAGTACGACTTGCACCTGCTAGCAAACCCACACACATTTAATAATGCATGTGGACACCAGCAGATACAAACAGTTCATAAAGCTTGTAGGCAGTTTTTGGAAAAATCAGATTCAAGGAATGACAAATATGTCATTTATATCTTTCTATACAAAAATTTTTACAAAAAATATATTTTTGACTGACTGGAGCATGCAGAGTCTTCTGACTCTCCTCTCTGGAGAAAAATAAGCTGGGCTTTTAGTAGCCAGCACATCTTGGTGAGTCTCAAACTGTACAGCATGGATGCTGTGGAAGGTATTCTTCAGCTTTCCCAAAAGCTTTGAATTTGGTCATGTCTTCAGGCCTCAAGTATGCCTGCAAAGCCAACTAAGACTAAGGCCTTACTGCTTCCACTTTACAAGCAGCACAAGATGGTCAATGGACTGGGAAGGAAGACAAGGACATGAAGTCTCTTCTCTAAAATCCTTCCTCAATTTTAAGGTAGTTCTGGAGATGAGATCATAGATAGTGCAAGTCCTTCACAGCTAATAAGTGCTGGTTAATGCCATCCAAGGTTAGGGAAGGAAAATTCTCTCACAAAGATCATCCAAAAATTTACAGCTTCTTCTAAGGAAGACTGCAGCAAACCATTCCTAATGTGGTTTTGAGGAACAACATATCTACGAAAGGATAGTCTATGGAAGTTTCAGAAATTCTACAAAGGCAAAAAAAAAAAAGGGCTGGAGGAACTGCTGCCTACTTAGCAAAACCCACTCAGCTTGTATATTTTGTGAATTACAGAGTATGACAAAGCTTCAAACAGCTCAAATAAGGAACAGGCATGCTTATGAAAACTTAGGACAGTTACACATTGACAATCAAGATAAACCTACAGAAAAGGTACAATTTTTCATGCAATGCACCAATCAAAACTGGAAGGAGTCAGCAATTGCCTTACTTCATCCACAGTTTGAACATTTCCCCTAAAAAGCTGACATTTGTCAGTCTTAAATAGAGCATGCAGAGAACTGCTTCCATATCCATCATGATAAAAAACTGTCACACCACCAAGTACAACATTTTTGTTGTTCCGATGCCCAACCCTTCCAGCTGGACTAGAAAGTAGGAAACTGGGATTTCTGCTATCACAAAACCAGTACAGAAATAGTTTTTTATAGTTTTCTGACAAATATTCCACTCATATTTTCAGTTTCTTTAAACCAAGGCAGAAGAAAAAAAGATGTTCTTGGTATTGACAGACCATATAAATTTATTCATGAAACCAAACATGTTAAAAAATGGATAAAAAAAGGAAGCTGGTAGACAAAAAGGAGAGCAAAAAAACAAAGTACATGGAGACAGAAGTTCATAGGAGTAACAAGACTACACAAATACTTTCCAAATTAAAATTTTAATACGTGTAATCAACCATTTGTGGTTTGATTCAATGATCTTGGAGATCTTTTGCAACCTTCATGATTTTATGATCATGTGAGTAAGAAAAGAGATTGATTAATCTCTCTGATATTCTACTATATTACAAATCAATTTATCCAGCCTTTTCAAACAAGAAAAATTCCTATATTTAAATGAATTTTTATCTACAATTAATTTCCTTAAATTACTAAAACCAACACGTTTTCAAACTTTCAAACATTTATGCAAAGTACTTTCTTTACTTCAGTACCACCGTGCAAGCATCAACAGTAAAATATATTTAACACCAAGTGTACTCTGGGGAAAACGAACAAACAACCACTAGAGCTAACTCATGGTAAAATTAGTTTCCTTATTTATTATTCCACTGCATCAATAACAAGAAGAACCTCAAACCAAACTCATGAGGTTTGGTTTCAAGAAAAGTTTCAAGAGAAGACAGTAAGAGCTGTTACATTCTCCTCCTTTCTCTTTCCTCTTTACAAGCACAGCAAACTTCTGCAGGCTACTAGGGCACATGGTCACCCAATCAGAGACTTCTTGTGTCAAACTGGGGTACTTAGAGTCAAAAGATGTGCTAAGACTGAAATATTATTTGATTAGAGCAGGCATTTCTGCAAGCACCCTTCAATCCATGGCAGCACACCTAACCTTCCCTCTCAAAAGCAAGTCTGGTTCAAGCCACGAGCACTCTGAGCATCTACTGAGTTACCACACTGAATGAACACTTGCTCCTCTGCCAGACTGCAGCACACTGAAGAGCAGGAATAATCTTGTCTCTGTCCAAGTCTAAAGGTCTGACCAGCAAGTAAAGGCTCCTTTCCATGGCCAACAGATTATTTCAGGAGAGGTGAAGATAATTGTTTCATCTCTCAATTCTTACTCCAATCAGGGTACCAGTCTTCATAAACAGCAGCACCCCGCTGAGAATTGCCTGGCCTGCACATGGTATTCAGCAATCATACTCCACAATTTCATTATACTGGAAATTAGAAGAAAGAAAATACTCATCTACAGATTCTCAGCACATTTGCAACCATTGTGCTGCCAGGGGAGCTGAAAGGAGTTTATTCACAACTGTTTTCTGAGCTAATGACAGAATAAAAGTAACAAGCATAAAAAGAAGACAGTGTGCAGAAGTCCAGCTGTAACATATTTTATCTGCACCACAATTCAAAACTTAGCTGGATGGAAAAAGCTCATTTAATAATAATATAAAAATATTATGGCACTTTCATGAACAAAGCTCCGTGAGCTTTGTAAGAGAGAAAACAGGAAAACAAACTTTTAGACTATTGCAAACTCTTTCCACTTCCAGATATTGACTGAATCTTTTAATATCTCTTCTGTGTATTTTCCTTTTCAAGCATGAGGACTAAAAACCTACCAGAAAACTGCTAAAAAGCTTACAAGTTCAAGAGCTGGAAATTCAAGGCAAGAGTATCTGGTGTAAAAACTGTGTGTGAATGCAAAGATCCTTCAGAAGTAAGAGTGCAGTAACTATGCGAATACCTAACATGCACCCATGGAAGCAGACAGACTTACAGAATTCAGGCATATCTGTACAGGCAGGAAGGAAATCATAAGGAATGCAAGGAACTGAGAAAAAACAACAATCCTGACCAATACTCTGTAAAGCACCTTTGCACCCTTAACAATCATGACAATGAATGTAAACATGCTTTTCTCTTCTTACCTCATAAGGCAGTTTATCAAAATATCCATTAGTTGGCCATTCCCTGAGGGTAACAATGCTGAACTGTTTATTAAGGGCATCCATTCCACAGGCAAATTTTTCTTCATCCTCATCTTCATCTATATCATTCATATCAATCATTGAAGTCTTAAGTGAAAGCACAGGCCTCTCTTTCACACCATGTAGTACTACTGCATCCAATTCAGTGTAATAGTCCAGAAGAGAGCTGTTCACTTCCAGCCGGATCAAGTTTGTGGGAAAGTTTATCTGTTTGATACAAGGTGTGAACTGCCGAGCCTGAGGACCATTCACCTTTGTAGGTGCCTCAGACCAAAGTATTTCCCATCTGTAAAAAAAAAAAAAAGACAACACACATACAGCACAGGAATTAAAATCAAAGTTACTAAAGCAATTCCTGAGCACAGTAAGAGGGCAACATCATCTGTCAGAAGTAGTTAACAGGCAAGAAAAATGGCTGAAAAGATGATTTATGATACTTATGTTTTCCCTAGATTTGATAAATATACTATGGATGAATTTAACTCCTGTTAAACTCACACTAATTCATATTTTCTCTACTGAATAACAAAACAAGCTGTAGACTCATAGTCACTTGTGTTAGTGTTATCTGTGCCCAAGTTTTTCTAGCAACTCACAGGTAAGGTAACTGAAACAAATGGATTGCTGATGTCTTCACCATGATGGCGTGTTAGTGTAAGTACACAAGGAACAGTTTTGCCACATAACCCAAAGAGAGTCATCTGATCTCTTACTTCCCACAAAACAAAAGAAAAAAACCCCACCACTCAGACTCTCTAATATCAAGCCTGTCCAAATTACAGTATTAAAAATTACTAAAAAATAATTGAATTTTACTTTATCTGCCTAGGCAAGCAAAATATTCCTTTTAGAAGTAATTCAGTGACAAATTAGCAGAGAAAGTAGAAACTTCAAGTCATTTTTAAAGGGTCCTTTGCAAAAGACGTCAGAATTTCCAAACTGCTGAACTGAAGTGAAAAGCCTTTCTCCTCTTTGGTTCAGTGACAGACAGAAGTTCAAGGCATGCACAGAACTACCATACATACATCCTTACTTTCACACACGGACCCCAGATCTCCTCCACCAAATGACAGAAATCTGCTGCCAACTGAGTAACCTGGAGGAACCAAGTCCTACATTCCTCAGACTTTCAGCACTCCCAAACGTGCCTACAGGCCTGAAAACAGAAATATGCCCTTTTATATCTGCATAGGTCCTCACTTAGTGACTGGAAATCCTTCAGCCACTTATGTCCATGTTTCTCCTCCCTGAAGTCTAGTTAATTCCTAAAGAAGAAAGCCTCCAGCTGCTACTACTGCTACTCCCTTTGACAACATGCTTACCTCAATACTTATCCAGGCACTTCAACATGCACACCCCATCTATTTCTGATCAGCCTATCCCAGCTTCAAGGATTTCTCTCAGACGTCTTGTCCTGAATCTCAGAAGCACTCTACCTGCTCACCAGTACCTCAGCATCTTGGCTTTCCCTACCAGACACCCACTACTTTGAACTTACAACAGAAACAAATGCTTTAACTTTTTCCATCATAACACAAAGCTAAACAAATGCAGGGATTTTCATTAAAACACTGCACACAGCATAAGTAAGTTTTATAGAAGTTTGATATTGCCTAGTAGGAAAATCAAGAAAAATAATCCATATTGGCCACAACTTCCATTTCACAATGAACATTTTCCTATCCTACATCATGCTGCTCTCCAAGTACCTTATAGCAGAATGGGAGACTTGCAGAACTCATGTCCAAAGGAAAGAAAAACAAAAACTAAAACATCATGAACTAAAAACAAACATTCAAGAGTAGTGAGCATATGACACATCGAAGTACTAACATAGGAGAGTGGACGGTTCTACCCTAAAATAACAGTTTTCATAAGAGAGACACAGTATTAAGAAAAGATTTCATTAATTTGCAAAATGAATGTCTACTCATGGCAAAGTAACAGCTGTAGTTCCGCTGTCACATCCTCTCACATAGGTCGATTCTCTAAGCAAATACTTAGTGCTGGCAAGACACATGACCTTCCTTGAACACATCCAGATCACCATCTGACATTTTGCTTAGACACTTCCATGTACCCACTCAAAGTATCCTTAGGGAAACTCAAAGGCTATTTTTTCACTTATCTAACACACATTGGACCATCAACTTTTAGCAGAATGGGTCTGTTATTGACTTCGCCTTTTGGACCCTGGAGAGAGGATCATCTAGCAGCAGAAGAGCTCTGGAAAAAAATAATGTATCTCATCAGATTGCAGCGCAACAACCAGCTCCAGCAGGCAGTAGTCATTTTCCAGCCTTTGGAATAAACTAGAGAAAATGGAAGACATGTAGCATGATTTCACAATCTTGTGAAACTCCACGCTGCATACCAAATGCTGATGAACAACAAAACCAGTGACAATTTTCCACTGTCCCTGCCATACTGTTTACTTCTCATCAACAGCCCACCAATCTAACTTCAAAGGAGATAGGTCTTGGTTTATCTGGAAAAACTCAACCCATCAGATTGATTTGATTATGTTGTCTGCCTTGGTGGCACCACAAACAAGAGCAGGCAACAGCAATTGCTCTGAGTCAGGACTGGCAAATCCTTCCCACGCTCTTACCCCATTAATACAAGTGGAAGTGATCTCTTCCTCCAGGATCACCCCTGTGACACTTAAAGAGGCTGCAGGTAATCAGAACAGGAGTAAAAAATTCACAGAGGGATCAAAAAAAGTCTAAATTTCCAAGAGGCTTCAGAAAGAATTTTATTATTCTGTTCTGGAACGTTCTTTTGTTATGGTAATCCACCTGAAAATCTTTCATAAGAAAGGCATTTTTACAGTCAGTCCTGGTTTGAGGATATGTAACAAAATCAGTTTCCCTAGGAAGGCTGCCTGCATCTGTTTCAAGCTTACAATGTTCAGTAAGCTATTTAACCCAAAACAAAGAAACTGAATCCCAATAAATACCTTTAAAGAAGTCAAAGGATTTCTGCCTGCCCCACACCCCAAGTTAATTAAGTTGCTCTCAAAAAATCAAGTACAATCAAATGAATTCAGGTAGTACATTGTTTGTCCTCCAGTCTTGCAGATATGTAGTAAAGCTGATCAAAGACGTCGAACTGAGAATGCTTTGATAAGAAGGTTTCATCAGCTATGCACTAGAAAGCTCAGTCCTTCCAGCAAGGAGTGCCAGGCAAAGCCTGAATAAGAGTCAGCAACACCTGTATTCTTTTCTCTAGTAATTGAAGAAAAGGAGGACATTAAGCAAGTTTCTCCATTCAGCCATCGACTCAGTTTTCCCATTAAATTTCTCTCTGTGCCATGAAGACAGACAAGAACTCAATTTTCTCTGATGCTAAAGACTCCATACACCTATGTGGTAAAAAAAAACCAAAAAAAAACCAAAAAAATTCCCATCCCTCTTCCTCCACCATGAAGAAAAATACAGTCTGGTAATTTCTAGGCTGAGAATCATACTTGGAAGGTCTGTGTCAAATGACAGCACATATTAAAAGCTTGCCTAATTTTTTGTTGACCTAATGTTGGTTGGAAAGGTTTTTAATGCTTAAGATGATTCCTGAGCAGACCTGGTTACTTCGGAAGAAATATATGTAATAAGAGAGAGTCTTTGAAAAAGGGGTTACTAGGGAAAGCAATCAGATTTCTCTCCAGCAATACAAGATTAAACTTTGCTTGCAATTGCCGAAGTTTCTTGTATTGTCAAATCAAGATAGGTGTAGAAAGTAAAAAAAGCACTACAAGCAATCCAATAAATGCCTTGCCTCAAGAAACTAATAGCTGAGTTAAAACCCAATAGAAGGGAGAGCTCCAGACAGACCAACAAGGAGAACAAAGAATCTCAGAGAATATTTCACCTTTGATGAAAATGCAACTTGTGCAACAATTACAATCACATGCTGCTCTTAGCCAAGCAACTGCACAGCAGAAATCTGTAGATCACCTAGGAGAAAACATGCCAGGGATGCTTCAGCACACTAGTTCAAACCAACCTGGAAAGTGTACCTCTAACCTCAGCTGTGAGCTCATAAACACAAAAGGCAGGGAAGACTGGGAAGATCATGAGCACAATTTAAGCATCATTCAGATTAAGCTGATAAGCAGAGTTCAAAGCAGTATAATTATTACGAGAAAATATGAAGCAAATTTTCATTTCCACCAAGAGTTCAATTCTGAAATACCAGAGACAGCAGACAGGATTCCAAAAATGCCCAGAACATGTAAAACAGCAAAAGGTACTTCAAGTAACTGCTCTGTCTACATGAGGTTTTTAGGAGCTTCTCAAAAATGGCTGTATTCCACAAACCCAGAATTCATTTTTCTATGACAGGCACTGAAACAAGAAAAAGCTTTTCGCCTGAAGATGTCAAAACAAGTTTTAAGTAAGGATGCAAATGTCTACAACTTGTGTGTTACACATAGGTGAGATACAGGCCCGAAGGTTCCTTCTCACACTCTAATGTGTTGATGGTATCAGCAGTGTTTTGGGTGTTTTCATCCGAGATTCTCAGGGAATAAAAGGTAGAGTGAAAGAACCATCTGAATGCCACTCTCTACAAGTAAGAACTCATGATATTTTTCATTCAGTACACTGCCTTTCTAGTTTCACTCCCTTTTTTAAGGGTGAGGGAGGGGGAGAGAGAGGTTCCATAAAACATTTTGATCCCGTCCAGGCTGCCTAAATACACCAAATTTCCCATTGGAAAGAGAGAGAGCCTTTTATTTTGTCCATCTTAATTAGCCTGCTCCTGTGGTTTGTAGCAGCTTCTGTCTCTACAGGCTTTAAGACCATCAGAAACAGAAAGAAACTTTGCATACAGCAAATACAAGCTTGGAAATACTGAGCCATGCTCAATTTTCTAGCAAAATTCTAAACGACATGAAATTAAACAAATTAAATAAACAACAGGCAGAGTGGAAGTGGTCACAGACAAATGATCATGGTACCTCATCCATGAGAAAAAGCCTAATAAGTGTCACACCTTATCTGTAACAAACAAGAAAAAAATAATCACAAGATAATCTCTAATTACTGAAGAAGCAAACACTGCAATGCAGGAAGGACATATGCTATGAAATATCATCCCAAGTACAGCCACAGATTCCAGACCTGTTAGGAATCTCTGATTTTGAGCTTTTATAAAAGCACATGAATATACAGTATCACTATAACATATATATGACATAAAAACAACAGTCAAATAAAATTTTAAAAGAGCACAACAGGAGAATAGGAACCAATTTTTTGTTTCATATTACAAACTTAAAAACCTAAGTTATTTTTATAAAAGGAAAAAGTTCTTAAACAATTATTTTTCACTTTCCCATTTAAAAGAATAACAACAACTAACTATTGAGAATATCAAAATGCATCAAAGGGCTAACACTGAAGAAGCCACTAGGGAATCATCTAGAGTAAGCCTTCTGGGTAAAAAAAGGAGGGAAAAAACCCAATTTTTCTCATCACAGAGCTAGCTATAACTTACCCATCAATCTAATACACTATGAAAAACAGAAACTCTCTTGGCTGGGTTCAGCTCATGCTACATTTGTCCCCACCACATGTGTGTAGAGCTCTGCTTCTTCTACTGGCTGAAGCTCGGTGACAATTCAGCACTGTCACAAAACCCTACAAACACAGAATGTGCACTACAGTACAAAGTCCCAGGGCTACACTAGTAAAATAATCATAACATGACAATCAAAAATAGGGATTGATTTCTTCACCACATAAAAACTGAGACTTTATGTTACAACATTTCCCAAATCTCAGACTATTAATCTTTTCTTGGGTTTTCTGCACTCAGGTATTTTGTGTAACGAATCTGTACATGGAATGTTAGTATAGTTTAAGGAATTACCTACACTTCTCACCAGCCAAGGTATGAGAGGCACAAATGAAAAGCACAAAAGGTTTCCATGTGTTAGAACAGCAGTTCCTCTGACATTTATGATTTTTAAAAATTGTTTTATGTAGAGAAAAGTGATGTAATGGCTTTTGTGTTTAAAGCAACAAAAGATATGAGAAGACAGAGAATCCTCCAGTTGCTGGATGCCAGTTAAACCATAATGAAAAAAAACTTCAAACTATCATGTTCTAAGCATGAGGATTACTTAGAAACAATTACAAACCCTCTGAGAAGTAAATGTTTATTCCCATGCCATGAAGATCGGACCCCACCTCTAAAGACACTGAATAAAGCTCACCTGAGACAGCACCATACAAAGCTGCAATAGCAGTACTCAGTGCACCAGAAACAAAGAGACATGACCAAAGAGAATTTTCTGAACATCTGCATGAGCTGCTCTTTCATGCAACTGAAGCATAAAGTAATACATTGACCAAGTGTGTGGGTGTTAGCCATTTCTTAACAAAAAGATGTAAAATTCCCTTGAGCAATAACTATAATACACTAGCTCCTCATAAAGAGACTTGTAGCCTAGAAGTTTTTGTATAGCAAAGTTTTGACTGCACTCACAGTTTGGCCTTCTTTGTATATCAAGTAGGAGCTGGTGAAAGAGAACTTTCCTAATGACCTTCCCTTTCTACACTGGTGCTCAGAAACATGTACAGCATCAGCTGATAAAACAAAGCAGCACCGAAAAGTTTCATTGGTAATACACCAAGTATCAAAAACAAAGTATCAAAATAGTCAGAAGAGGAAAACGAGGTTCTAAGTGCCTTTTGAGTAAGTAGGTCATGGCCTTTTTTAACTGAAGAATATTGTATGGCAGTGCTACAAGACCAAAACATCAGTTAAACAAGGAATCACCTGAGATTACAGCAGCATTCCATCTTCAAAAAAAGAATTCTTAGCTGATATCTCACAGAATTTTTGGAAGTAAAAACAAGAGACCAAGAACAGAAGTAGAAAAGAGACAGCACTCTTGCAACTCTTCAGATTCCTCTCATAAAGATGAGCAAATGAACAGAGAAAAAAATATTGTGTCCCTCATGTGGAAAAAGGGTTCCTTTATCTTCCCTTCAAGACACCACACATAAGACATTTGCCTCCTTCAGAAGAAAAGAGACAAACCAAATGTGCAGCTCCAAAGAGACAAGTCCTGCTGAGGAAAGATAAGCAAACAGAAAAAAAGGGTCTCTCTAACACTTCTCCAGCATCAAGACTAACAAGTATTGAAGAGGCAGACTACTCCTTTCCAAGGGTCTCTCTAACACTTCTTCAGCATCAAGACTAACAAGTATTGAAGAGGCAGACTACCTTTTTCCAACCAGAAATGTTAACCTATGCAGGACAGCGGCCATTCTTGCCTACAAATTAAAAAGTAAGATCCTACAGAAACTTCATCTTTTATTATAAAGAAGGGCATCTGAGCTGTCACTCTGACCACACCTCAAGAGAAGTCATAAATCCCATACCCAAACCCAAAAGTTTTATATTAGTATTTTTACTTCCATCTCCCTTTAGCTCTCTGTACAATTTTCTATTTCCATTTTTTTGTGTACCTAATTAAACAGGTCCTCCAGTTAACTATTTCTGAGCTTTCCTCCAATCTGTGCTTCACCATAAAGAAATAAAATCTACATTACAAAATAAAAAAGTAAAATGGAAGGTCACAGAGTAATTGTCCAGAAGTCATTTCACATTAGCTTCTGAATTTGAAGCTAATTCAAAGCTTCAGCCTTCACCCCATACCATTCTGTAAATAAGTTCTGTATTACAGTGCCAAAAGCACTCATACTTCTAGAGTTAGGTGGCTTGTTATTATTATTTTGACCTACTGCTGTTCCTTGAATTCAGATGTTTACTTTAGAGCTATACAACATATCATATTCTCATTAGATCTGTAAAACTGCAACTGCAGTTAACCACAGCAGATGACAGAATCACACAAAATATATTAACTGGAAATTTTGAATATAAACCATGACATCTGATTTTCCAAGGGTTTTTGAATGAACATCAATGGCCCAGTATTAGAAAGCAAGAGATAATAAGTTAGACCTAAAAAAAACCTTTTTAGTGGCACCTGTAAAAGAGAACTCAGTAAAAAATCACCCTACATCCACATCAATACTGCTTATACCACCAAAGTGTGTATTTCATAGCAATATAGTATTTGTTGGCAAACTAATCTTTACAGAACACATTTTGTTAAGTATTTCTTCTATCAGCTCTCCCTTCCTTTATATCTTTGGTATCATTTAATCTCTTTTGATATGGGATACTTCAATTGCATATACTGACAGCTTTTCCCAATGTTATCCGCACTACATGGTTTGACCTGTTCACTTTCTCCTTCCATTCCTATTTCCTCACCTCCTCACCAAGAGCTTCTCACACAGTGTTTTTGTTTACTATCTTGCCATTCCCCAGGTTACCAGCTCCTGATCCTGCAAATGGAATTTCATCAAGAATTCCTAATATAAGGAAAACCAACAGGATGAAATCTGCTTTCAGATGAAGTGAGTGTAAAAACAAGTTCAGCTCACCCCCTTTGACCAGACCAAAAATAAAGATGAGACAAACAGCATCACCTTTTGTCTGACTGCTCTGTGCTTCTGGTTTCAGCTTCATTTCCATATGAATAGTTACAGTGCCTAATTGTACTATACATTCAACCTAAAGTATGCAGAGAAGAAAGAGTCCACGGCTACTTGAAGCAGGATGATACAGCAGCCATGAATCCTCAACCTCTTTTACACAATTTCCTCTTCCTACTGAAGGAAGAGCTCAGACCTACCATTTCAAAAGTAGTGTCTTATACAGACATAGTAATTACTGCCCATAAAAATTCCAACACCAAAACTATCATTAAACAAATTAAAGTTGATATTAGGAGATGCATTAATTCCTTTAAAAGTCTACATCTCTGAAGTTGCAATCAAAATGAGATACCACAGTTTTAAAAACATGAAGAAATAAAGAAAATTTTAGTCAGATACAAAACTGATACATATTGGGAAGTAAAGTTCACTAAAGAGCCCTATTTGTAACATATAACATCTTACAGGAAAGCGTAAAGAAGAAAAAAATTACCTTACTTCAGCTGGTGGATTTTGTGAGTAAGGATTTGCAGAGCATGCCAAAATCCTGACTACAGCTCCAGGATGATAGGTTTCCAGAATGTGCACTGCAGTGGGATAAACTGGTTCCTCAAAAGCAAGTTCCACATAGTCCTGGCTACAGAAGGTGGATGGTGTCCTCTTGAAAGGCAGCCGAGCACTCGGGCAGCGATCCCACCACGTGCCGTAAGTTCGAAAGACAGCAGTTTGGGTAAAGTCACCAGAACTAGGATACACGTTGGGAAACCCTGCTAAATTCCACATGGTATAGGACATGCTGTTCTCACTGCCGTAGTGAGAGCTGAAATCCAACACTTCTTTGGCATACTGAACTATTTCAACGTTGATAGGTAAGGCTCGGGTGTTCGATTCAATAGCCCTCCGACTGTTCATTTCTCCTCTCGTCGCTGTCCTAGCTCGGCGCCGAAGGCACATGTAGTAAAACATGCTCAGAACTGTTAACATGGGAAACACTGGTGGCATCTAGATAGGACTTAGGAAGATGCAAAAAGTCAGGAGTCCTTTATAAGCTGCATTAACTGCCTGTGGTGTTTTGGAAAGGAGCTGATAAAACAGAATGAATAAACACAGTGAGCAGATACAGGATTCTTAGAAAGCAAATTGTGCTGTTTTGAATATTGTCTTAAACAAAGTGCTGCTACTAAAATATTAATAAATTATTCTATTTTATTGTAAGACAATTGTTTAGTTGGAAGCTACTAAGTGTGGCTTCCCATTTACTTTTTACCTTACTTCACATTTCTTTTTTGTTTAAAAAAAGACAAGACTATGAAGAAACATTAGCCAAAACCAGCCGTCAAGCAACAAAAAAAAAAAAAAAAAAACTAATGGTCAAAATAAGCAATATCTTTAGAGATTTATTACAAGAAAAAAAATTACAGTGACTCAGGGAAATTAATTCAAGTATGAAATGAAATTTGGCCCACGCTGTAAACAACTGTGAAAGCATATCTAAAGATACACTTCCCATTGTGAAGACACAGCTTCTTAAAACCAAAGTTAAAACTAATGGTTTTACTTTCTTTCAAAAAGTGTAAATGGTTTTAAGAGTAAAAAGAATGAGCTTTTAAGCTGTTAATCTACATTTGACACACTGCTTTCTCTATCAGAGTGCTAATCTGAAACAGTCACAAAAATACTGCCTTTACCATTTGAAGTTGTCCATGACAGCACACACCAACAACAGAAGGGTCATCAGCCTCCTGAAGGATGCTCAGAATTCACTAACAACATCATCTTCCTTTAAACCAGGCAACAAATGAGGTCTTCAAAAGAGTCCTGGCATCAGAAGCAGAAGTCCCCATAGAAAGCATTTTAATTCTGACGAGAGAAAATATTTTCATTAAAGTAGCAATTCAGTTAAACACAAAATGTACTAGATCTGCATACTTAAAAAACCCAACACAAAATATACTATTAATTAAGAATACCAATGTGTTTTACACAGCCTACACCAACACAGGTAAAACAATCAAAAAAGCAGGTTTAGCAATTAGAAAAAGCTAAATTAAAGGGAAGCTACTTAACTAAAGTTTTCTGTTTACAACAGTGAAGAAACATTTATAGCTGAATGTTCTCTACAGGACACAGGAGGGCTGTATCATATTCCCTACTAATAAAGATCCTCTTACATATGCTTGTCCCATATTGAGCAGCTGCTCCATACCTGCGTGATGCAAACTGTGAGTTTTACCAACACACAAGGAAATGTGCAGTGTATTCTCCGATTTCCGCTGGCACTACACAACACACGGGATATGAATTCACACTCACCACAAACTGCTTCTCACAAACTGGCCTTCTCATTAACTTCTCCATCAGCTTTACTAAGAGAGAATAACAAGTAATGCCTGTAACCCGTTAGAGGCCAAACGGGGATGACTAAGCATGGCTCAAAATAGAATAAATGTTTCTTCAACAGCCCGTGCTGGAGTTGCTGCTTAGTTTACCATAGGATGCACACTGTGGTAATCTCTGAACCAACAGATGTGAGTGACCCTTCTATTGCAGAAGTAACAACGAACACATTGCTTCACACTGCCAGGCAGGCAAACCACGTATTTAACGTTTGCAGTGGGTAAAAGTGAGACCCTACTATAGCGTTTTTGGAAGCATAAGTTTAAAGTAGGGTAAATTATTAAACAAATGGAAACTTTTTGAAGTCTCTACACAGATCCACAGTGTATGTTTGCTTGTTCCCACACTCACAAACACACAGAGATGTACAAACAGCTCTCTTTGGCATGAACGTTTCCAGCATGAAGGGACTTGTGGTAACAGATAAGGAGAGGCTGCACTATTTGCCCATTTTACTCATGACAGAAAGAAAGTTTACTAATGAAGTGCTCAATTCTCACTTTCTTGCTTCTGCTATTATTGGTCTTTTGTTTAGTTTCACATGTTGATGTAGCTGCCAAGGACATGAATTACTCCTGATACTCAGTGCAGAAGGGAATGCATAAAACAATATGCCAGATTTACTTCAAGCTCCCCTGAAATGCCAAGAACCAATAATGTCACATTTCCCACAAACAACCTAAGCCACCTTTCAGAAAAGACACTGGGGGAAAAAAAAAGGTAGCACAACCCTGAACCTCTCCTCCTTAAAAGAAAAAAAAAATAGAAACAACTCCAAACTGAAAATAGCTATTTCATTTTTTCAGAGTAGAGATGTTTTGATGTAAGATGTAAGTAAATATTACAAATACATTCTCCTTCTGGATTTTTCCCCTCTTAAAAAGAAAGATCTATTTAAAGAATATGCCAACAGACATTAAACTTCAACAAATGCTCTGCTATCAAGCCCGGGAATCATGGCCAGATCAGCATACACATCACCTTCAAACTCAAAATTTTACTGATTAAGATGATTTGAAGGCTGCTCCACAGAAAATACGGCTTTACAGATCTCAATTTTAAGACTCATTCAGCTGTGGTACTTGTAAGATCAGTGGGAATCACTTATCTCACATAAGCAACCTACACAACTTGACATCTGCACTACAAACTGCAGGCTTCCTCTGGCCACAGCCTGCAGCTCTTGTGGCACTGCTGTAAAACCCAGCTGTGCTCCTTATCTTAGCTTGTCCAAGAGCAGCAAAACCACCCAACAGTTCAGAGCTGTACGTCAGCTAGCTGGCCAGTTTAAGCCAGGTCTAAGAGAGGAAATAACCTCAACCATGCTGCAGATCTTCCATTAGCAGTAATGTTAATTTGGGTCATTCTCCCTCTAGCAAATTTATAATTTCGTAAAACCTGTAAAAATTTGAAATCCTTGATACTGACACAATTTTGGCTGGCATTGGTCAACAGGGTCAAAAGTAATTAAGTAGGAACAGAAAGCTTTCATGTAAACTTATTAGTCTAAACAACAGAAGTGGAGGCAAATTAGTTTTAAAGAGTTAAAAACAATATCAGATATAGTAGCTTATAATAAGTAAGACAAAACTACTATAAAAAAAGTATTAAATAACCATTAGGACTACAATACAAATAGGAATTCTTCTGGCATTTTAAAAGAAGCAATAGGAATTGTGTGGAGTTAAAAAGACAAATGAAAAATTGCTTCAGAGGTTAAAGGATAATAAGCTAGTGAAAGAATTACATTAAATACAGATCAGTGGGGCCAGATGATACAAAAAGATTTTTCCAGGAACTACCAGAAGTCAAGCTGATTTCTAATTAACAGGATTTAACTTTGCAAAAAAAGATAAAAATGCAGACACGGGTCTATGCAAAGCATCAAGATAAACAGCTCGGGAGCTCATGTACATGCAAAGTTTATGTTGAAAAGTCCCCCTTTTCTCAAACTGCTTAATTATTTTAAAGAGATCCACTTAGACCCATGCAATTATGCCTTCTGATCTCTGGCTGGGTCTTTGGCCTGTTGTATATGATTAATTTTTTTTTGTACAGGCACAATTATGCTAAACTAAAGCCTAATAAAGGTTTCTTATAAGTGTCTTTTTATCCTCCTCCCAAGCAGCAGCCTTCTACATCTTTTGTGTCTTCTATATATATATATATTTTTTTTTTTTTCCTGTCAATATCATTAAATAGACTGAAATAGTGCTATGAAATACCAGAACCAGTTTTCAGTCTGTTCTTCTCCCCAGACCATCTTGTGTGAGTGCTGGCTTGAGGGGGGAGCAAGACTGCACAGGCCCCAGATCAGATGAGTTCAGAGGACTACCAAAATGTTACCTCTACTTTTACAAGACAGGACTCCAAAAACCACTTTGGACTAGACCTGGAATAAAACTTTTTTAAGAGATATTTTCTTTCAAAATACATTACAATATCTCCTACCCAGGCTATTATTTAATTTATACCTATTTTAATTATATGGGCAAACTCCCTTTTTCTAACCCTTCTTTTCTGCATGCTATACATACAGAAAGGCTTCTAAGACTGTAATTCACTGCTGCCTTCTTCCAAGCACAGAAAACCTTGACAAAGTAAAGCATCATACAGTTTCTGTACAGATTTCATGGGACAAGGCACTAATTAATTTAAAGCATTCACACGCACTAGATCTCTTCAGTCTATTTTGCCTCTTTTTATAGGGAGTTTTTGTATATAAATTCATTTTCCGTCTTTGAGGGAACCCATCCAATTAATGATTACTGTACTTGAAAAAAACAGCATGAAGCCGAGTCAGGGCAGGTTAAGTCTGGGTATGAGGAAAATGTTTTTCACCCAGAGGATGGCTGGGCACTGGAACAGGCTCTCCAGAGAAGTGGTGACAACACCAGTCCTGAGTTCAAGAAGCATTTGGACAATGCTCTCAGGTACACGGTGTGATTGCTGGAGTGTCCTGTGCAGGGCCAGAAGTTGAACTCAATGATCCTGAGGGGTCCCTTCCAACTCAGGATATGCTATGATTCTACCTATTCATTTTGGTTAGTTTGGCAAATGCAACTCCTCAATAACCACAATTTTATCCCATACAAGCAGAAACAGGACAGAGTAATTCACCAACCAGACTGCTGAGGAAAAGGTGGGAAGTACACAGAAAAATACTTGAGATTTCAAAGGGCTGTGAAATGAAGGATGCCTGTGAAAACATAACAAGTAACAGATACTAGATTTAGAGGAAAAAAAAAAAAGAAATATGGCACATTTCATCCCTGAGCCATCCCTGGAAAAGCACATGATAGGGAAGAGTTTGTACTATTTCAAGAGAAGCAAATGTTGTACATGCAAGTCATGCATACAACAGGTTTGATTTTTAAAGCCAGTGAAGTAATAATTCCTGTTTACACCAGCTTTGCTAATCTCACATTTGGGAGCAGTGAGCAGTTTTCCTTCACTTGACTATAAAAAAACCAGCAACATCGACAAATTACAAATTACAAAGAATGTATAAATGACAAAAACAAGGGCTTGTATGATCTCTAAAGAAAGATTAATGCAATTTGTGTGTCTTAGATAAAAGACAGTAAATGGGAAATCTCTTAATTATCTTTATACACTAATGCACAGAGGGAATACTGGATGCTTACATTACAGTCTAAAACAGAGTACTTTTACCACAGGTTAGCATCTCTTGCTGTTAATTACCTAGATTATACCAACATCTACACTGAACTTGTTGAAACTAGAAGCTATTATTAATTAAAAATTAATAAGCTATTACAGTATACTTTAAACTCAGGCCCCATTTGCTGTGTTTCTTCCCATAATATATTCTGGCACTAAAACGAGCCACTTCACACAGACTTCTACTGTTAGAAAAAAAAAATAAATTGCAATATATGGCAATTTTATCTATCTAAAATCTTATGTTGCTTTCATGAGCAACAAAACAGGCAAAATCCAAGAATTTCAGATTACTTCACTGACTGCATTCCTGCTAGGACCAGACTCGTGGTGTGGTTTAGCACTGAGATACAACGGAGACAAAAGTTCCTTTGGCACCTATTACACACTCAAAGTGGCCACCCTGCCTTGTGGAGGTGGCTTTCTCAAATAACAGAAATTGTTTTTCAACATGAGTAAATCATCAGGTAGCCCTTTCTATTAACAGCCTGAAGTTACCAGCATTATGCCACTTCATTCTGACCAACCACCCTTCCAGCTATGGTGAAACTCTCCCCATCATGTAAAAAAAAAAAAAATTAAAAAAAAAAAACCATTCCCCACACTACTTTTAAAAAGAAATTTGTGTGCATTTGTCTTTTCACTTTTCTCTTGAGATATCATACTGCCTCTCCATGTAGGCATACTCTGTGTAGCATTTACTTGCTGGTCACTGCACAGATCACAGCTATTAGGCCATGGAGTTGTTACCTCCCACTGTCACAGAACTAATAAATCAATTGGGTTGGAAAAGGCTTCCGAGATCATCAAGTTCAACCTATGACCTAAAAGCACCATGTCACCTAGACCATTGCACTAAGTGCCATGTTTACTTAAACACCTCCAAGGACAGCGACTCCATCACCTCCCTGGGCAGCCCGTTCCAGTGTCTAGCCACCCTTTCTGTGAAGAAATTCTTCCTCATGGCCAACCTAAATCTTCCCTGGCACAGCTTAAGACTGCGTTCTCTCGTCCTAACCATGTCCGTTCACATCCAATTGATGTCCATTTGTCAGCCTGCACTGGTAGCAAATAACAACCCACAAGAAGTGAAGCATCCCAAAGTACACACCTAAAAAATAAAATAAAACAGTATCGCTAGTTCAGCTCCTATCCTGCCTTCTGTCGTGTTGTGATCGGGCAGCTGCCTGAAACCGTGTAAGCGTGGAACACAGCGGCGACCGAGCAGCGGCGGAGGACCCGCAGGTGAGAGGAGCACAACCCGTGCCCAGCGCTGCCCGCTTTGTCTGGTGCTAGCACTGTTCCTCCCCTCCTCCCTGCTCCATGCCATCCCTACCCCTTCCCACTCCTCCGCTGCCCGCGCTCTCTACTGGCAGGGGCAGCTCCCGTCCCCAGGGGAGCACTTCCCTGCCCCGGGGCGCAGCCGAGGCCTAGGGACAGCGGCGGGCAGATACGGGCGGCACTGCCCGGTGCCGCCGCTGCCTTCCGCGTCCCCTCCCCGACAGGGAACCGGGGGAAGCGGCGCGGCGGGGGCGGGGCCGCTGGCTGCGCCTGCCCGAGCCCCGGCGTGGGGCGGGCCCGCGCGCGTCCGGCGGGTTTGCTGTGGGATGGGAGAATCCTGGAATTAGGAGGGTTGGAAGGGCCCTTAAAGATTATCTAACTTCAATCCCACTGCCATGGGTGGGGACCCCTAGCTCCAGACCAGGTTGCTCAAAGCTCCATCCAACCTGGCCTTGAACAATGCCTGGGATGGGGCATCCACAGATTATCTGGACAACCTGTTCCAGTGTCTCACCGTCCTCACAGTTAAGAATTTCTTCCTGATGTCTAACATAAAGTTCCCCTCTTTCAGTTTGTACCCATTACTCCTTGTCCCATCACAACAAGGACAGATGCAGCATCTGTGCAGCTTCCCTGTTGGCCCCTTCACACATTGGAAGATTGCCATGAGGTCTCCACGAAACCATCTCTTCTCCAGATCGAACAGCCCCAACTTGCTCAGCATTCGTAGGGGAGATGCTCCAGTCTGGACTTGCTTCAAAACTTTCATGTCCTCTTTACGCTGAGCACACCATAATTGTACACAGTACTACGGATGGGATCTCACCAGAGCAGAGGGGGAAAATCACCTCCCTAACGCTGCTGGCCACACTGCTTTTGATGCAGCCCAGGACTCCGTTGGTTTTCTGGGCTATGAGTGCACACTGCCGTCTCGTGTTGAGTTTTTCATCAGCCATCACACCTAAGTCTTTCTCTGCAGCGTGGCTCTCGGTCACTTCTCCGGCCAACATGTAGGTATGTCCAGGATTGCCAAAATCCATGTGAAAACCTTGCACTTTGCTTTGTTGAACTTTATAAGATTCACGCTGGCCCACCTCTCAAGTGTGTCAGGGTCCCTCTGGAGGGCATCCCTTCCCTCCAGGGTGTTGAATTATTGCGGTGTTGTGGTTTGTGACTCAGGCCCACTCTGCTTTGTGTTTTGTTACTTCTGCAGATATGAAGGCCAT